TGGGTCGTGACCTATATTTTTTGGGTCGTGACCTATATTTTTTGGGTCGTGACCTATATTTTTTGGTTCGTGACCTATATTTTTTGGGTCGTGACCTACATTTTTTTGATTCGTGACCTATATTTTTTGGATCGTGACCTAGATTTTTTGGGTCGTGACCTAGATTTTTTGAATCGTGACCTAGGTTTTTTGGTGTCGTGACCTAGATTTTTTTGGGGTTATGACCTAGATTTTTTTGGGGTTATGACCTAGATTTTTTGGGTCGTGACCTAGATTTTTTTGGGGTTATGACCTAGATTTTTTGGGTCGCGACCTAGATTTTTTGGGTCGTGACCTAGATTTTTTTCGGTCGTGACCTAGATTTTTTGGGTCGTGACCTAGATTTTTTTGGGGTTATGACCTAGATTTTTTTGGGGTTATGACCTAGATTTTTTGGGTCGTGACCTAGATTTTTTTGGGGTTATGACCTAGATTTTTTTGGGGTTATGACCTAGATTTTTTGGGTCGTGACCTAGATTTTTTTCGGTCGTGACCTAGATTCTTTGGGTCGTGACCTAGATTTTGTGGGTCGTGACCTAGATTTTTTGGGTCGTGACCTAGATTTTTTGGTTCGTGACCTAGATTTTTTGGGTCGTGACCTAGATTTTTTTGAGTCGTGACCTAGATTTTTTGGTTCGTGACCTAGATTTTTGGGTCGTGACCTAGATTTTTTGGGTCGTGACCTAGATTTTTTGGTTCGTGACCTAGATTTTTTGGGTCGTGACCTAGATTTTTTTGAGTCGTGACCTAGATTTTTTGGGTCGTGACCTAGATTTTTTGGGTCGTGACCTAGATTTTTTGAATCGTGACCTAGATTTTTTGGGTCGTGACCTAGATTTTTTTGGGGTTATGACCTAGATTTTTTTGGGGTTATGACCTAGATTTTTTGGGTCGTGACCTAGATTTTTTTGGGGTTATGACCTAGATTTTTTGGGTCGCGACCTAGATTTTTTGGGTCGTGACCTAGATTTTTTGGGTCGTGACCTACATTTTTTGGGTTATGACCTATATTTTTTGGGTCGTAACCTAGATTTTTTGGGTCGTGACCTAGATTTTTTGGGTCGTGACCTAGATTTTTTTGGGGTTATGACCTAGATTTTTTTGGGGTTATGACCTAGATTTTTTGGGTCGTGACCTAGACCGAAAATTTTGCTTGCCGCTGACAAACGGCAAGCCGTTTTTTCGGGTCAGCATATTTTATAGAGCAAGTTGCCGTTTGAATGCCATCTGAACGCAGCAAGAGAACGGCAACTTGCTTTTTTCACGGCAAGCAAGTTTCATGCATGCGGCAACTTGCTGATGTACGACCCCCCTCGAACATGGTCAGCAAGCACTAGCAAATTTCTAATTTGTCCAGCAACTTGCTGATTCTGCTCAGCAACTTGTCAAATGGCTCGCAACTTGCCGTTTGCTTGCCCAAATTTCCCTGAGGATTTAGATTTTTGCGTTATGAGCTGAATTTTTTGGGTATTGACCTAGATTTTTTAGGGTCATGACCTAGATTTTTTCGAAACTTCTGCCACTTAAGAAAAAGCTTTTGAAGAAAAGATTCAAGTGAAAAATGCAGAAGAACTGTCGATTCAAAACAATACTATTATTTTAATACTTTAAACAAAATACAATAGAAAACACATAAAATAAGATATCTCATTCATTCATCTGCTTCGTGTAACTTTCTCTTTTTGATCGTTATTTTCTGGTAACATCTCGACAATCTTGTTGAGTAAAAATAGTGTACACTAACTTCGCGAGACCCAAATTTTCCGGACTCATCCCCATCATCTCGAGCTCTCCAATATCGAAGGTCTGGAAATCGTTTCCTATATTACGTTTATCTCCTCAATTTTTTATTGACTTTTAAAATAGTTTTGAAACAGAAAAAAAAATAAAGACTACCAACCGATTTTGGGAGGTTGCCCTCGTGAACAAAATAATCTGGGATGAAGATTTTGATTCCATCAGCACACTGTAAAGATCCCAAATCATTGTTGATATCACAATAGTTTCCGAAATAAATGTATGGGTTGGGAGTGAACAGCTGAAAATGGATTTTCATGGTTTTCGAAGGATTCTGAAGGATCGTACCGGCCACTCGCTCATAGAAGACTTCAGAACAAAGTTTCCATTTGCATCAGTTTTTGTGGCAACCAGTTTGGTATCTCTGCCCACTGGAAAAATATGAGAGAGTTACTGTACCGGGCAAAATAACAAGTTTTTTTGAATTCAGAATTTCAATGAAAGCGCTAAATAACAAGCCAGTCTCAGGCTAGGCTTTATCTAGTATTTTACCAATTGAAACCGTATGTTATTTACCCCAATTTTTCTCATACAACGAAATTTCTCCATCCACGTATGGTTTTCCATTGCACATCAATTTTCCGCGAACATGAACAGTTGCGTCGCTGGCCAAGCTGATTGATGGTAGAAAAAGAAGAACGGATGCAATCAGAGTTGGCTGGAAAATAGAACAATAATTGGCAAAACAAATTTTCAGATTTCAGAAAAGAATTTAGCCTGGTGACAGTTTGAAAAATAACTGATTGTTCGACATACTTTTTAATGACGGTATTGAAACCGAAAAAATTTCTAATCGTCCTATGAAACTTACCGTATGCATTTGTAGTTTTCTTCCGACTCTTTTAAGAGGTGCCGATTTCGTACCGATTTTCGCGTTTTTGGTTTTAGAGTTTGGATGAGCTGGAAAAAACACCACGAAAAATGTCAATAGGAAGCAACTTATGTTTCAACTGGGACACGTGAACTACATTTTTGAGTGGTTACATTTGTGGCTTGCGTTAAAAAAAGGTACAATATGCACGAGAAATAATAAAGTTACAACTGACAAGGGAACCTTTTAAGTGCATGTAGGAGTCAGCAGAAACCACTTGCATGGATCGAAAGAGCATTGTCGAAAACCTATAAATCGGTTTTCAAAGTCTGCTTACGAGACCTTTTAAGTTATGAAATTTCAGCATCAGCACGAAGAATCCCATTTTCAGTGTAAAATTGGGAATTTTCAAATTATATTTTCTCCACTCCAAGGAAGTTTTAGGTGTTAAAACGTTTTGTATTATACTTAAAATTATGTGAAATTTTGTATTTCAGACATTTTCTGACAAAAATGTATTTTCA